AATAGGGGTATGTTCTGTTTGATGAAATACCTATGTATTCCATTCTGCTTACTTCGAGTAAGCAGATGAGGTTTGATGATTTAAGCTGAGATCCTTTGATACTCTGACAGGTAAAAAACAAAAATGCTGCCTTGTATGTAAACTTCCATCCTTAGACACAAAGCTAACTCTGTTTTGTAAACATGTGAACTTTTTTTAATGACCATTCTTCCAAATGGCTTCTTTCCGGCTGTCTCTTCTCTGACCTCAGAGCAGCTCTACAAGGTTACCTGTGTCTTTGCAAGTCTAGCTTTATCCTTTCTTACCTTAATGTTAGAAGGGAGATAGATGTTCAGTCCTCTTGTGAAATGAGATTTGGTTTCTATATAATAGCATTTTCCATAATAACTGCTGATATCATCGAAATAAAGAGAGCTTCTTTTCCTAACTACCCATGAACAAATTTGGCTTGTTACATTTCTGCCTCCTCCAGAAAGTCTCATTTCTCCCCACTGAGTATGACTGACTCCAAGGCATTGAAATCGGTTCCCTAATTAGGGATTCATTGAACAAGACTTCAGTGAATGAACTTTTTTAGCTATTTTATGGAAAATGAAAAGAGATCTGATCCTATTTCATTCTTATATACAATTGCTCCTGTACAGTGGTTAGAAATTTTGAGATAGATCATTGAGCAATCTGGGTTTTCATCTAAGGAATACTTAACAAAAGTCTATGTTTTGCCCTCATTTCTGAGAGGCTTGTTCAAAACGGAACTGTTGAGACCTTTCAAGAATGTTTGATCAGCTTTTCTAATAACATCTAAATTCTAAAATGCTTACATTTATTCCTTTTATTTTCTTTTCCCCTTTTCTCTTGCTTTGCAATAAAGGGTACATGCCAGATCATTATAATTTCCCTGAAAGTCATTTTTATGACTTCACTTTTGTTAGTGAGAACCAAGCATTAATCTGCTCAGACTTGCTTAGTAATTACTTTAACCAGGTTACTTTTCCCATCATTTCTTAGCTTTCATCTCCTTCTTGTCTTCTTACAGAGTTCTCTAGTAGATTTCCAAATAACTGGTACAGAAACAAAACAAGTTGTATAGTGATTTAAAACATAGGATGTTTACACAGACCTTTTATTATGGGAAAGCTATAACGATAAATTAGTCCAGGTTATCCAATAACAGAAAATTCTGTGAAGAAATGGTTCCATCAGAACTTGTAAAGAACACATATTCTCTTGTTATTTTTCTGACAATAACACGTCACATATCTTACTTTATTATTTATATACATTCTACTAATGAAGAATTAGGAAGCAGGTTGCTAGAGGAAGGAGAATGAAATGATTTTTTGCAGTTGACTTTCTCAAGGTTACATGAGACCTTCGTTTTAAAGTGTAGATTACATTATTTTGGCCCCTAACTAATGCTATCATTTAACTCTGGTTTTTCTTGATTTCCCAAAATGTAAACTATAATAAATGACAAAGGACACCCCAGGTTTTTTCATCAGAGAAACCAATAACACTGTCTCCATTAGATGCTTCACCTAATCAATTATTTTCTTCTCCTGATCCTATTTAGTTTGGAGGGAATGTTTGCATGATTCACATTTATTTGGGTGGTTCCATTTTGCAGTGCTGATTGGCTCAAATTTCTACTTTGATGTGCTAGCAATGAAAAAAGGAGATAGAACCAACAGGTTCTCTGAATATTTTAATACAAAGGAAAAATAAACAGAGGTGAGCCCCAGCTTGAGTTATAGTCACTCCGGCATCTGGACTAATTACTACTTGCCAGGCACTGTGTTAGAACCTGGAGAGACAAAAACACAGAAGAGACTGCCTGGTCAATGGATTCATAATACTTTCAAAGATAGAATCACAATTCTGTGTGCTAACTGGTGGGTTAGAGGTATGTATGGTAGGTATGCTGTCCATACTGAGTAAAGATAAGATCATTGATGGAGGTGACTACAGGGTAAATCCTGAAGGATAATAGATAGGCAAATCCATACGAAATGATAGAGAGGAAATGGAGTCTATACAGGTTCAGTAGATTAAGACAGGAGTCAAGGATAATACCAAAGCATAGAAAGCTAGATGCACAGTGGAAGATTCCTTTAAATAAGGAATTGAGAAGAGCAAGAGTAGGTTTTAGAAGGAGAAGAAAATGAGTTAGTGTTGGGCTTGGGCTAGGTAGAATGTCTGGATAGAATGTTCAACAGATACAAAGAGGGGTTTAGAACCCAAGAGTGAGAGAACTTGGTTAAAAAAAAAAGATTTGAGTCATTAGCCTATAGATGACTGTATTTACTCATTCAATAAATATTCCCTAACTGCTTTATTTTAGGTATTAAGGACCCAATGGTGATGAAATCAAATACTAATATGGTTTTCACAATATCAAAGTCTAGACCAGTAGCTCATGTCACAAAAGTGAATAAAATAATTTAGGAATTACACATGTACATACACAACACACTGAAGAAAGATAAAAGGTAGGAAAGGAAGAGAAACATAGAGAGAAACACAGACTTTGGAGAACAAAAACATTTAAGAGGTGGGCCAAAGAAGCAAAGCAACCTGGAGAAGGTGACAGAGTTTGTTCAATAATCTCAACAGAGATCTTCCTGACCAAACCCTCACAACTCAGCTTACTCCTTAAAATATATTACTTGACCTTGCTCTAGTGGCTCACATTTGTAATGCTAGCTACTCAGGAGTCTGAGATCTGAGGAGCATGGTTCAAAGCCAGCTCAGTAGAAAAGTTCATAAATCTCTTGTCTCCAACTAACCACCAAACATTCAGAAGTGGAGCTGTGGCTGAAGTGATAGAGAACTATCTTTAAGTGAAAACTCTGAGGGCCAATGTCCAGGCCCTGAGTTCAAGTCTCAGTACCCCGCACACGTGGTCACAACGCACGCGCGTGTGAGCACACACACACATACACAAATAATATATAACTTGGTGTTTTGGTGGCATGCTTAAAGCACCTGTGTTTATATTTATTCAGTTCAGGAATTCTTTTTAGTCCTTTCTTAAAATAAGGGATTCCAAAGGCTGGAACTAAGACAAGTATCAGCCTGTATCTCAAATGACAAAGACAGAGATGAGCGAAAGTTGGAAACACATATAGATTTTCCTATTCAATTTTGAATTATATGTCTTTCAAGTCAATCTTAGTGTATATTGTGGCTGGATTTCCTTTGTTAGGATCTGTGAGATAAATGCAGTCTTAATGTTACCCCAATAAGAATGAGAAGAGAAATGTTATGGTCTGTGTTGTCAAGATCTTTTGGGGAATTTGTATTTATTGGGGGATTTTTTTTCCCTTCTCAGTTCTCTTAATCCAAGAGATAGCACCTCAGGCACTTACAAATAAAAGACAACTGAGTAAGTGGGTGAAGGTTGTTTTGACAGGTAAAATTTCTTAAGTAATTTTAGGGTGAGATTTTTTTGTCATTTTATTTACAAGTGTTGCATAGCCTAAAAAAATAGGGATGTCTTATAGATTGTGTGTTTGACATAACTTTAACTGAAAATTTTCTTTTGTGTCTCAGTAAAAATCCTTATACAAAAAGCCATTGTACATGAGGCACCAGTGGCTCACACCTATAATCCTAGCTACTCAGGAGGATGAGATCTGAGAATCACCAGTCAAAGCCAGCCCGAGCAGAAAGGTTCATGAGATTCTTAACTCTAAACACCAAAAAAGCCAGAAGGGGAGCTATGGTCCAAATAGTAGAGTGCTAGCCTTGTGAAAAAGTTAAGAAAACTCCGAGACCCTGAGTTCAAGTCCCAGAACCCACCAAAAAAAGAGGGACACCTTTGTTATATGTTCAGATTGGTCTATTATCCTATATTACACTTCTTAAAAGTATTTTAACAGTTGTTTTTAAAAATTCTCTTGAGATAACAACTGTTTCTCTGAGCCAGATTTGAAGATGAAGCTGACAGATGCACAGACAGATCTGTCACAGAGAATCTACCTATGTGGACTTAGAAAGTCATTAAGGTGCAGAGCCAAGAGGGAAACTGTATGGCATAGTGGGTCTCTTGTAAGCTTTAGGGTTCTGAATATGCCACACAATTACATGAATAAGCAGATGAGATAAGGGACAATGATGGATCAAGAAGCACTGGGCAACATAGATGGACATGTTAAATTGTAACCTTTCTTGCACAATCTTTTTGAAGTTCAGAGAAAAAAATAACGTAAAAGGTAAAAAAATTACATGAATGATTGGTGTTAGAAGTAATATCAGACTGTTTGGTCAGTCGTGGAGCTTGGTAATATTAGACTCAAAATTAATCATATCCAGTAAACATGAAGAAGATAGAAAATTTAAAGTTAAGCCATTTTAAACCATCCATTTATGGTATTTTCTCCAAAACAAGAAAATAAAATCCATAAGCCTCACCAAAAACTCTTTATTCTCTAAACAAGGCTAAATTATTACTTGTGCAAAAGGAATTTATTTGCATGTTTCATGAAAGGATCTTGGTTTTTCTATCATAGCTTTTTACAAATTCTCCCAGTAGTGCCTGTAGAAATAAAGGGAACATCTTTAAATCTCGTTTGATTTAAGTGAATGAATCATCACAATAGATACTTCTTTAGAGAATAATGTTTCAGAATGTTCAGGGGCTTCAGGTATCTAGCCGATTTGTAGGTATGCTGTCTGTTCCCATTGCTCAAGTCTCAGCTCACCCAAGGTAACCATTTCTCTTCACTTGTCTTTTGCTTCAGATTTCCTGTTGAATTTACTTCAGCATCTCAAAAATCACCCAGTTCTTTTGTCATAGCTTTCCACAACCTCCAGATTCAAACAGAAACTTACCTCTATAACCAAATGACTGTGTCCTCCCACATAAACTCAAACAAAGCTGGCTAGGAGATTAGGGATCGTATTCTCTTTAATCATAATGAAACGAATATTTAGAGCCCCGTTGCCTTAAATGTCTTCTGTTTGTGACTCTTGGTTTTCTTTCGTTTTTGTTTCCACAGGACATTTGGGCTTCCAGGACAGTTTTGTCACATCAGGTGTTTTCAGTGTGACTGAGCTAGTAAGAGTGTCACAGAGTAAGTACAAGTGTGCTCTGATTTGGTTTCTGATTTGTGTCTACTTTCTGTCTAGCCCCCCTAGTGACGTAAAACACTTTCAGATTCCCTTTTTATTCTGCTATTGGAAGAATGTTGCCAAAAATTTGTTTATTAAAAAAATCAAGAGTTTTGAACCAGGAAAATTAGGTATTTTAATGTGAGACACTCAGGAGATGGATCAAAATCCGGAGTGGCTCATATATGTCATGGAATTTGGGGTGAACTTAGTTCCCAAAAAATTATTAGTCCTCTTTGATTTCTAAGAAATTCTGCATTTTAAGAGAATTTGTTTCTGACCTTTAAACAATGCTAATGTCCTCGGTATGAGTGACACAGTACAGCATGATCATTAGCAGCTTGTCAATAGTGACTAACCACAGTGAGTGAAGAGTACCTGTCACCAGCCCTGTGCAGTTGATCAAAGGCCTATTGATTGTATTTTTACTACAGCATAAACCAGACAGTCCAAGGAGAAGTAGAAGAGTCTCTTTCCTTCCATCCTTCTATCCATTCATCCATCCATCTTTATCTACATCCCTCCCTCCATTTATTTCTTCTTCCTTCCATATCTCTCCCCATCTTTTTCTCCATCCTCTCTCTCTCTCTGTACACACACACACACACACACACACACACACACACACACCTTAAGAACATCTGTTTGCATTTTTAAAAATCATACTTACAATGATAACGATGTTATAGGTCTCAAATTTTAAGACACAAAATACCAAAGGTTAATATTCTTTTTATTTGCCCCACCTACTTCAAAATACCAATAGTAGGTAAAATGATTACCTATTTGATGTTAAGTATTGCTTTCAAGTGGCATCACATCTTTCATGAAATGAGATGGAGTAAAAGCAAGTTTTTACTTCATGTTCATGCTCTCCATTCACTGCGTTGCAGGCTTACACGATTGCCAGGTAAGCTAGTTCACTGCATGAGAAAAACACAGGTGGGTAAGTGAAGCCATCCTGCTCTCCTGTCTAGATTCTGTCTGTTCTTATTTCAGTCATTCTCAGGATGGAAGAGTCTTAAGCATCTAAAAAGTAATATAATTCTTTCTCATCTCTGTGAGAAAGAACCCAGAGACTCTTCATATGCATTTACTACTCGTCAGACATTGTTCTAGGCCTTTGAGGATAGTATACAAAATAATCAATGCATTAAACTTTTCACATATGAATTTAACCCCATTTTGACATGAGTTAGATTGAGGATCTATGGAAGTTACCTAAAGTCAGTGGGCCAGTGGTTCAGCTAAGTGTAGGTAATATAGATTGGGTCAAGGGAACTTTAAAAAAAAATCTACTATGTAAGATTAGACAAGGAAAAAGTGGGAAAGTAACTATGGATGTCAAAATTCCAAGAGTGAGGGGCTCCCTAGAAGATTCTGCAGTGTTTAGTAGAGGGAAGTTGGGATTCCAAGGAAAGAGGCATTAGGAGCAATAGATGATGATTTGGAATGCAGCAGCTTCTGCTCTCTAATGGAACTGTGCTTAGAGTAACAGCCAGTTGAGAGTTGAGAAGATTAGATTGTGTTGTTAACCAAGAGGATATATGCAGCCCTGGTGATTGCATAGCTAATAATCAAGCTATTTGTCATAGACAAATAACAATGCATGGGTATACTTTTCAGAAGACATTGAAAAGGATCAATATCCTACATTTTCCTTATAATTTACTAATAATAGGAGTATAAAGAGTATATATCAGAGTGTACCTACCATTGTAGCATAAAAGGGAGATAAATTTTTGAGCCGTTACTGGGATCCAAATATAAACTCAAAGATTTTTTTTAATGTGCTTTTAAACTCTAAGATTGGAGCACTAATCCATTTTATTCTGCCCTGGCTGCTGTAATGCTTACATTTAGTCTTCATTACCATCAGAATTCCAAGGCCTGGGGTTGTTAAGACAAAGCCCATGCTGCTGAAAACCATCTCAGCATTTCAGCCTTTTCCACTTCCTGTACTCTCCTTTTACCCTTTCTCCATTGGGTCTTAGACAGAGTAGTTGCCAAGTGAATTCTAAACCTGCTTCAAGACTGCCAGAGGGGATGGTTGTACCCAGGATTGAGTTTGCCAAGGGACCTGGATTTGTTTTCTGTTCTGCGTAGGGCGTTGTGTAGCTCATGTCTGGCATCGTGAGCATCCTTCGGCTTCTGAATGCCTTTTGATTCTGCACGCTGCTGTGTAATCGCTCCAGGACTCAATCACACATGGCCTTGTGCTGACTGAAACGGTTCGGCAAGAGCAAGATTGGGCTGTGTCAGCTAAACCATGGCTTCAGGCCAAATGGATCAACTGTATTCCAGAGACCCTCTCTTCCTCATAGATCCTTAATCTAGGTTTGTCAGAGTCTATTTTACCAATTACCTGGGTTGCTGTGACAGAGATCGACACACTCAGGTTTTCTCATCCGCACTCCTTTCTGAAAGACTTGTCACCAAAATCACATAAGGTAGTTGAAGTTCTTAGCCAGTTCCTCAAAGTGCATTCTGCTTTCTCCTCTGTACCAGTTGGGATCTCCATATTAGGGATACTGTTTGAGGATGAGTGGGGATGAAGATGCACCCTGCATGCCTGAATAAGAAATAAACTAACAGGCACATGAGTTGATTAAACCAAGGATGTTAGGGTGCCATGTTAGTATGAAAAATTGCAATAGGTCAAATTTATCATGCATACACTATGAATAAGCTGGCAGACACTGTCAATTCCGTGCTGCCATAGTTGGGGTCAGTGTGTTTTAATTCAGCAGAAGAGCATGATGCTCAAAGATATTACGCATCTTGCCTGGCTGCAGACATGTTTGTATTACTCTGTCCTGCATTCTAGAACCAAAGAAACCCAAGGATTCAGAACTTTTATTTGTATATTTTTTTATTGTGAAGACACTGTACAGAGGGGTTACAGTTACATGAATAAGGTAATGAGTACATTTCCTCTTGAGCATTATAACCTTCTCCTTTGTTTTTTCCAGCCATCCCTCCTCTCCCCACCTCCCCAGTTCCTCTCCCATCCCCAAGTTGTAGAGTTCATTTTTTAACATAGTGTCTTGTACATCTCATTGTTACAATGGGTCAGCCTGTATCCTTGTTTCAGCATTTTGTTATTTCCTTTCCCCTCCCCAAATTAGAAAAATGTATATACAAAATGCAGGGAGGATTCGGAACTTTTATTGAGTAATTAGTTCTTGTTGAATTGATAGACATTTAACTTGTTAATAACTTGTGCTTTAAAACATGATTAAGATTATTTTCATGTAAACTAGAACTAGTAAAATGTTTAATTCTTTTCAGGTATGATTTTGCTTTTTACTAATAAAATTTATGAGGGGGTTTTGTTGAGCTTCTTTTTCCCTTCCAGTGCTAGAGATCAAGTTAGGGATTTGTACAAGCTAGTCAAGTACTCTACAAGGTTATACGCCCTCAGCCCTAACTTTATGTTTCTTAGAGCAGGTTTTGAGGCTTATAGTTTTTAAAGAGGTTAACAGGAAGTACAGAAATCACTTGTACTCATCCTCTGCAACGTCTCCTTATTAACACCTTTTATTGGTATGGTATATTTTTTGTAATGAATGAGCCAATATTGATATATAATTATTAAAATAAAACCATAGTTTATGTTGGATCCAGCCTTTTACATTTATTGCTCCTGTGCTTTCTATTGGCCTTGACAAGTATGTAAGGACATGTGTTCACTTTTATGAGTATCATATAGAATTGCTTCAACTGCTCCAAAAGTGTCATGCCTTATTTGATCATACACCCATTTCCCATCTTTTCATTCTCTCCATTCTTTTTCCTTACACCTGTATATATATAAATATATATATATACACATACATACACTTTAATTTTTATTTATTTATCTATTTATTTATTTTTGCTGGTCCTGGGGCTTGAACTCAAGGCCAGGGCTTAGTCCCTGAGCCTCTCTGTGCTCAAGGCTAGCACTGTACCACTTCAGCCACAACTCCACTTCTGGCTTTTTCTGAGTAGTTTATTGCAGATAAAAGTCTCACAGACTTTCCTGCCTGGGCTGGCTTTGAATCATGATCCTCAAATCTCAGCCACCTGAGCAGCCAGGATTAGAGGTATGAGCCACTAGCCCCCAGCTTAAAGATCTCCCTGCCACCCCCTCCTGCTTTTTTTTTTAATGGGGTTTGAACTGAGCCTGGGTGCTCAAAGCTAGCTAGCTCTCTACCACTTTGAGCCACAGCACCACTTCTATAACTGGTTATTTTTAATGTCTGTAAATGCCTTCCTCTGTGTTGCAGATTTCTTCTTTACCTTGCCTCCCAGACTCATCTGTTTTGCCACTTCACCCCAATCACACCAAACTGTGGCCATACTCATGATCCAGGACTCTCACAGTAATCAGTAATGATGGCATTGACCTCAAAGAAAGACTGATATTTTTTTCCTTCGCTACTTAGGATATATAAAATTCAGTTTTTAAATTTGACAGTATAAATATTTACTTCCACCAGGTTTCCAGCTAGTTTTTGCCTTTCCATTTTCCTCCTTTTGGGCTGTCCTAGAGTAGGGAGCTGCTATTTCAGTAGTCCCCCATGAGGATTCTCTGAAATAACGATGTGCTAAGTTTGTTGTTTATATTAGTGTTCCTGCCAAGGTGGCAATGGCAGAGAAACTCTAGCAAAAGCTGCTGGCCTGTAGTCACACAGTCAGAGGTGAGGATCAGGCAGCCAGGCTGCTTGGCCTTAAATCATATGTGCCAGACACATAGAGCTGGTGGATTCAGATTCCTGTTGGTTGGTTGAAGCTGCAGGCACCCATGAACTTCCCTGTCACCCTTGACTCCGGCCCATTACCCTTTCACTATATATATATATATATATACACATACATACATATATCTATATATTCATCTAAAGTCTGTGAAAGGCACGAAAAGGAGAGCCCTGTTTCCCCAGCAAAGAAAAATAAATCTGTATTTGTTCTATTGCTG